AATTTAAGAGTTTCGTTCTTATGTTGCTTATAAGTTGCAACTTATTGATGCTCTTTCTTTTGACTGCCTCCTATTGGCTGAGAACATCTCCTCAAGAGACCTCTATTTTTTTTTTTTTTTTTACCATGGGTTAAAAACTCTCCAGGTTGTTCTTTCCTGATTCTCCTCTTCTCCTTTTGCATTTCCTTCAGTCTTTGGTGGTTTCTTTTTACTATATGAGGGTTTTTTTCCATGCAAATATATTAATAACATATTGTCCCAGAAAGCAAAATGAGCAAGTTTTTTTTTTAATTAATTCATCACATTGTAAGGATATGAAGTAATGCTGAATATACCATTTCCCTCAAAAATTCTTTCAATATTTAATTGCCTTTTCTTCTAATTAATTATGGTCTATTTTGGATTGAATTTATCTAAAGTCAAATTCTAGCTATTGGACCTTTCTGTATTTCACCAAGAAGTTCTCCACTCGAATGACCTTCTTTTCCATTTGTAACCAACTATATTCAATGCTTCTGTAACCTCTGTTAAGCTGGAATAGACCCAAGGTAAACACATGACAATCTAAAGTCCACATGATGCTGAAAGTTTGGAAAAGAATCCAGGCGTCACCCTTTGGGTTTTGGTCCCTTTGACTGCTCTGCAGAAATGTACCAAAGCTGTAGTCATGGAAGTTTCCTTGCAGAAACTGGCAGCATTGGTCCTTGACAGCTGAGAAGGGAAGAATATTCAGTTCTTCCACTCCTTCATCAGTGCTCTAACCATCATATTCTATGCAAAACAAGAGGTGGCAGCCAGCCATCTGATAAAAGATATGAACTCTCTCTAACTTTTCATGCACTCTCACAGAATAATCTAGTGCTTGGTATCTGCATAGACAGATGTACCTAATACAAAGCTGTAAGTCAGCTGCTTACCCTCCAGGAAAACTCTCAGAAACTCTGAATGTTTGTTTGACTAATTCTGGTAGCTCCTCACTCAGTATGTGAGACAACTTAATCACTCCCGGAGAAAAACCACACCTATCCCCATTGACAATAACAGACCACTTCACCACCTAAATTAATCTACTTAAATTCTGCTGCCACAGACGGTTGGTGTGATACCTAAAGCAGGTATCTCAAGCAGGCACACTGAATATGTCCATAGCGTACCCGGATCTACTGATATGAAAATGTTTAATTTGAGCAGCTGAAGCCTCTGAATTATATATTATATAATTTGTTTGAATATATGCAACATTAGCAACTGCTATTATTGGATCCTCTTTCTACAATGAAATAAACAAATGAACTCAAATGCAGTATCTTGTTGCAGTGCCCAGAGAAAAGAATCTCCTAATGATCAGCAAAATTCTCCATAGTCTACAAAAAGCATAATGTTGCCTTTTCAAGTAATAACTCTGTTTTGTCAAGTTCTAAGTTGTACAAAAAAATCACATGAACTGTAAAAGGCATTTTTATTAACATGGATCAACAATTTGTCAACACTTCTACAAATCCATAGCTTTTCAATAATAATAAATACTTACACTAACCATAACAATTTGCCGTGCTAGCTGCATAATACTTATATATTGCTGGCGGGAAGTACTCACCATCCAATAAAGTTTCACTACATATTTTCCATAGCTATTGTATAGTGGCATGTGTCCCCTGGTAGCTTTACATAAGGCATAAATGTGTTCCCATGGTTTCCAAAAAAGGGTGGATGTTCCATTAGTTAAGGCCTTTTCATTATATATCCTCCAGACTGCATAAATTTCACTTATAATCCATCTCATCAGCTGAAAACAGAGAAAAACAGAAAAAAAAATTTCACCTTACATCTTTTAGAAAAATAAAATCAAGTTATAACAATCAAAGAATAAAAAGCTCCTGTTTTAAATGAAGAAGTGACATAAAAGTATAGCTATAGTTTCATGCAAAAATTAATTTAACTGGTAAAATTTTTTCTCAAAATCATCACAATATCTACCTACAATAACTCAAAACTTCATGAACCTAAGTAAAGGCACAATATAAATTATGCTGTTCATCACTTAACAAAGAAAAATGAGAACATATGATTTCAAAATAAATTGTTACAGGACTTATGAACTGTCACTTGTTTAATTGCTTATTACTAGATAGAGCTGCTAAAAATCAATATTGGCTTTAATACTTGCTATTTGTACTCAGTAAAAAACAATCCTAAATAATTACAATTATTTAATATTATTTAAAATTTAAAATAGATTCTTTAACTAATGCAGATTTCTGATGTATGCTATAGTTTCACAAGTATTACCAGACTGTTACAGTGATTTATGTAAACAAGAATGAGAATAAACTTTTACTACAAGAGACTTCCCCTAAAATTAATTAGTGGTTCTATGGACAGCAAGATTTACATAATCTCTTTTCTGGTGGCTTCTTTCCATACAGTTTCTCTGGTGCTGAATTTTGCATTTGCATTGAAGCACTGAATAAAATAGAAATTATGAAGTAATATTATATTCAGGAAGGCACTCAGATGCCTTTGTTCTACCTGCTTTGTAGCTTCCCCTGATCTGTAGAAAACATTTATTCAACTCTGGAGAGAAGACGACCAGCTGGGTGATAGAGATTTGCACACTCATGCAGGCACACTAAGAACATGACTTTGGGAAAGCTTCAATGAAAAACATAAATCCTTTCTAATATGTCTTTTATTTGCTCTTAGCTTTAGAGAATATTATCCAGTAATAATCTTCGTAGTTCATAGACTGTATATTTAAAAAAAAAAAAAAGTGTTTGGAAAATCTCTTGCCATCATTGATTTAATTTTTCAAATTCCAAAAAAAGGGAAAACAGTAATTATGAAAATCTAGATGATTTCTTGCTATTTTATTCCATTATTGTTTTTAACTTACAAAATTTGTCACAACTTATTTCTTCATGGTAGAAATTTGGAGTGAAATCCAAAAAGTTAAAAAGAATGAAAGAAAATATTTTTTAAAAGGGACATTAATGTATTTCTACCTACCTCACTACAAAATAGATGCTCATTTGCTGAAAAAAGGTCAAATGAGGCTTCATTTTTGACAACCACAGGAATCTAGGAGAAAGTAAATTAGTTAAGTTCATGGCTAAATTATCTGGTAAAAAAAAAAAAGAACACTAATGTTTAACAGTAGTGACATACAAATGTTAGACATTTGGCAAACATTCATTAGACATTTGCAAATTAAAGGCCATCAGTTTGCAAATCTTGTAGCTGCTTTTGTATTGCTTAATAAAAATGTCTTAAAATCTAGATGTTCAGAATTTTAAAAAATCATTATTTTTACCAGGAGATTTAAAGAGTACCAAATGAAATGATTACATGATTAAATTGAGATTCCCTCAATCTTTTCATAATATTTGCAGTTCTGCATTTAAATCATGATCATAGCACTGCCTCATACTTTGAGATTTTCTTGGCTCCCCACCAAGATTCAAAAGGATTTGTTTCCTTATGGTCAGTTAGAAAGTGGTATTGTATCAGTATGAATGCTGACTTTATCAAATCTTTGACTGTATGACACAGTTTTGATGACTATTACTTGTTTATACAGTCCCTTTTCTTTTTGTAAGCAGTTTAGAAATAACATACTAGGATTCTAGTTTATTGAACTAAATACATCTGTGACTCTCATAACTTACTGGTGGTGATCATTACTTGATTCTTTGCTTACCACATTAAATAGGCTTGTTTACTCTTTCTTTTGTAGTTACTAATAGATTAGGCAGCAACTTATATCATATTAATAGGCTTTCATCACTTGACAATTACATTAATTTTTAACGACTTATAAAATTTTTAGTAATCATAGCCTCTTGATTCAAAATACATTGGACCAAAACAAGCACCAAAGTTTTAATCTTACAAGTCTTAAAGGCCTTAGTCTTAAAGCCGTAGTCTTAAAGTCCTTAGTCTTAAAGAAAACAAATGCTTTCTTCACAGTGCTCTAAAGATAGATTTAAAATATTTTTAATACAGATACATGTTTACATGGCTTTCTGGGCTGCCAGCTCTCTTGCCCTCATCTTTCAGATACCTCTACTCAGTTTACGCATTTTGGCAGTGTTTCTCATCCAATCTTTTGGTCTTGTCAATTACTCCCTTGACCTCCCCCTCTCCTTCCTCCATAAAAAATTAAACTTGGACCTGTTCAGTGTCTAGTTAATAAAAAATAGAACTGACAAGCTGACAAAAGGAAAACTGACAAGCCTGAAAATGTTGGAAGGGTGGTCAAAGTGTTTTAAAACTTCAGCATTTCATCTGAAGCAAAAACACTTTAAAACTTAGATTAGCAACGGCACTGGAGAACACTAACCTTTGAAATGGTAGGCTGTTTATTTTCTTTGCAATTAATTTTAAATATAAACTGAATAAGAGCTTTGCATACTTTTAAAATGTTATGGTTACATTCCAGACAAGTACTGTCAAAGACATGGACATGTTCTATATGCAGACTGGAGAAATATAGCAATTGAAGTGAGAAAAAGTACTGTATTTCTGGTAAAGCTAATTTATGGTTTCAAGATAGATATTTACTTCAGGCACCTGCTCAAGGGAAGCCTTAGTTGCAACAAACAGAACCTGTTTTGCCATGACATTGATTTTTAAGTGAGAAAACAAGAACACAAAGAAAAACAGGAAAGCATCTCTCTGTCCGGGTGTCTTCTAAATGAATGTGGAGTCAAAAAGCAGAGCAGACTTGGAAAGATGCACTACCACAACATTTTGCACCAGGACATGCTGGTCCACGGTGATTGCACTCAGACTCCGTATAGTGTCATTTAAAATGCTATTATTAGAGCTAACTGTAAAGAAAGAGATTACTAAAGATAATCTTATGTTCTTTTAGATTCTGGGAACCCCAAGCTGTGCAGCACCAAACAGGCTTCTGATCCATGCACAGCTCTCTGTGCAGACCCCATCCATCAGAAGGGTTACCCCATTTCGCTGTTACTGAGCTATGATTTGAGCTGTTATACCATTTTTTTAAAAGAAAACAACTCTTTTCATCATTTCTACTGTAAAACAGAAAGGATGTTCACATAAGAACTTCCTGCTGCACTTAGATAAAGGCAAGGAGTTGTGGATGGTGTAATTGCCAGTAACAAGAGGCCACAGGCTCCTCCCTTACAATACACTGGCGGAGTTTATCCAGTGGCCAGGAATCACACGGAGCACCACGCTGGCCTGAAGGACAAGCTGTGTCTGCAGCACAGGTTAACTGCTATGTGGATCAGTGACTCCTCGGTGTACAACTGTCTCCCAGACAGGATGACTACTCATGGTCAAGAGGGTTTTACCTGTTGAACTGATTTCCTCTACTACGTGAGTAGCATTTTTTTCTTATGACGTTGCTTGTTTCTTACCTCATTTATTAAAAACTCATGTGGACGTTTCCAAGAATGCACTTTTAAGGATGCTGGCAATTCTATTTTCCCTTCAGGATCCTCAAAGACATACTACAGAAAACATGTATGAACAAAAACGGAACATTTTTTTATTAATTACAGTATTGTATCTTTCACAAGATTTAAAATAATATCTTTTTCACACAATAATTCACTTAAGGGGAAAAATAGCATAAAAAGGAACTAATAGTATCTATAACTGAACTGAAAGAGTGCAAAGCCCAAACTGAAGATTCAGCACAAAAACTGCTTGTATTGTTCTGAGAGGTGTATGTGTCCTGCACCGTCTAAATAGGTCTATATAAAATGTTTCCTTTTTTCCCACCTTTCGGAGAAATCTCCATAAAAACTGCTTAAGCTTTTAATTCAGGCACTCTTCTCCCAAGTTGTTTCTAAGTACTTTTTCTAACTCACTTATTTCTAAAGCTTTTATAATAAAGACTGAAAGTAAATATCTAAAGCTATATTTAGACACAAACAAAGCAGGTTCCACGCATTTAAAACTGCCATACAAACCATTCAAGGGAGAGTCTCATATAATTTTCAAACTTTTATTTCCAAAGTGATACTTATTCTCCATGTGAACAGAAAGCGTCAGGATATATGTTATCCGTTTACTTAATAGTACAATGTGGGATGAGGAGAGGCCTCCCCTGATACTGCTTGTGCTGACTGAGAAACTAATGGGTTACATGGTTAGTACCTTTTATTTGCACCTGGAATTTTAAATAGCTTTTAGCCATATTACACGTTTGGTGTATTTCACAGGCCATGATGTACTCTACTCACCTTCTACAGACCAACCAAGAGAAAGTGTTTCTGGTAAGGAAAAACTATGATGCTTTGAGTACTTACTGATTAAAGGAAGGCAAAAGAAAATATATTACAAAAGCATAAAAACCAAGCACAAACACAAAACAAAGACTCCAAAATAGTATTTTGGCTGCATTTTTTTCTTATTTGTTTCATTGTGTAAGTTCCTTCAACATACCAATCCACAACCAAATATTTAAAATACCTGAAGGAAGCAAGATAAGTTGGGGGGGGAAAGAACCTTTTAACAATAATTATTTTTCTGAAAGCTAAAAGAAGCCAGTCTACAGACTGGACCATACAGAACTGTATTAACAGAGTTTGTACTTTGCTTTCAGAGACACACAACCCTGACTACATGGTGTAACAGGAAAGTTTAGCACTTAAACACCAGATAAACCAGACAAAGGAGGCAGGTGAGAATGACAGAAGACTACACAAAGAAACACTAAAAAAACCCAGAGATACGCACCTTTCTTTAGCTGACAAGTGCAAAAATAGTTTGAAGAAGGATATTGTAGGTTCAGCTAAACTTGGCTGACAAAATCAGGTTTAACTTATCTTTTATTTAAGGTGGCTATAACAGACAACTGCTGGGTCTCAGGAGTTCATGCTCTAAGGACAGGAGCTTCAACCACAAGTTCTACAGGAAGGGCAGGCAAGAAACAGGCACAAGAGAAACAGGCAAGGTCAAATGCACAATCTCAGCAGCACACGGCGCTGCTCTGAGAGGCTGTTGTGTAGGGGTGCTTGATAAAAGACCTTACAAGGAAAGAGATTGCTTCCGATCAATTCCTTTTCCCACATAAGAAAGCAGGATTGTTTATATTCTTGTTCTAAGTGTACTCAAAGGTACTGGATGCCCTCACTAACTCTGTTGCTAACTGAAATACCCTATATGATTTTGAATTCGGGCTAGCTGCTTGGATCAAAAGATCCCACGTTAGAAAATTCTTCAGATCTGTGAATTCATCTGCTGTGACCAACATATTTAACAACTCCTTTAAATGTGTAAAAAGAGCAATGTTTCATAATAGCCTGTGTCAGAAGAACTGAATAGTCCAGTAAACACCTCAAAATGCCTCTTATGCTAAAAAAGAAGAAATATTTTCAGTTACAATTATTTTAAAATTTTATCTTTTATAATAACATCGGGCAGACCTAACAGATTAGTACTAGATACATGTCCAGAATGCAGCCCAAAGACACCAAATGTGCTAATGGAACAGAAGAAAGACACAAAGGAAAATTATTTACCTGTCAAATTAATGGCAGCATTCAGTACAGAACCTATAACTTCTCACAAAAGAGTACTTTGGCCCCATAGGGCTACAATATATTTAAGCTTGGGATAGGAAAAAAATAACCTACAAACAGAATATATATTCTTCTTTTGCATATAAAATAGACGATTAAGCACAGTATTAAATGGATTTTAAATATGACTTCAAAATGCTAAGTTTAAGAAACTTTTTAAGAAACAATTTCACTACCACCCTGCATGAAAAGCACATACATTCTGTAATGATAAAGGAGTAAAGATCCAGATGAGATCTGAAAGTCATTCCAAAGTTGGAAAGACTGAGGAATTTTTCTGCATCTGGTAGGTGCTTACTTTCTGCAAAATAACTATATCCCCTCAAACCATTCTCTGCACACTAGAGCTGCAGACAGTGTTTCACATGTCCAGAAACCAAGGTGTGCAAAAGAAAAGACTTCAACATCCATTTTTCCCATAATAAAGATGGGTGCATTTAACCTTTTGAGTCCACAGAAAGTGCCTAGAGAAGGGATTGCTCTGACATACTGTAACAGTTCAGCTGTTTCCACCCCCCTAGTTTTAATTACATTATAGAATAGATTTTGGGGTTTCATTTTTTTTAACTATTAATGTGCACACATTAATGCACACACATATGTTAACAGTTAATTTAAGAAGCAACAAACAAACAATGCACAATACTTTTAGTTTCTTATTTTAGTTTAGTAGGGAACTATTTAAACTTATTGAAAAGATATGATTGATAATTAATACATTATCAGTAACTAATATATTATCAGTATTCTGAAGTTGTGATAATTACTCTATTAAATACAGGTACAAAACCCAAAGTGGAAATAATAGATGTGTGTCACGCAACTTACTGAAACAGGACTTTTTCCAGTTTTTTCTTTCTCTTTTCCAACTTTTCCAGTGTCCCATTTTTCTGCATTGATATCTGCTTCATTCCATTCTGGCCAAATAGGAAATCTCCACTTCTCACTGGAAGCGCCTGCTTGGGAAGATGTAGTTGCCCTGGGAAACAATCAGAGGCATGAATAAAAAAGAACAGTATATTAGGCAAGGGTAGTAGGAAGAATTTTATCTCATAAAATATTCTTTTCCTAATGTGCTGTAATAAAATTTTAGTGTTAGTAACTACAATAACTTTTTGTCACTAAGATAAGCAAGCCTATAGAAGTGATAGATGGCATTATTACTTATAAACCTACAAATTTAACTATTTAAATGCATTTATATGAGGAACCCTGCTGAAGTAAATGGGACAGCTGAAGCACAAAAGTGGAATCCAAGGGCAGAGTTTCCTCAAGCCACATGGTTCTGCTTCTTCTCCTGTGCCATTCCTAGCATTCACGATCCCATTCCACTCACTCATCCAATCAAAAGCTTTCCTTTTATTCTTTGTTTCCAAATTTTTTTTCTGACTTACTTTAACCAAAAGGAGCTTGCCATGGATAAAAGACATATTGGGGAATAGGAGTCCCACTTCTAGGCACCAGTTTGCTGCTAGACCAGCCAGTTCTGTTTCCAGTTAGTTTCATTCTCAGAGCCTCGTGTGCTACCAGAACTCTCACTACCCTCTTCTTGGGATTCACAAGTTTGGTAAGACTGCAGGGATTTTCACAAGACTAATACTAGTACTAGTAGCACCTGTGCACATAATTTTTCCAGTGTGTACAAAGGGCTGAAAAACTGAATTAGTTAGAATGAGAATACAGCAACATTTTTCTATGATTTTATAATATTTTGCTGTTAGCAATAATAAGGACAAAGACATGGGTAAAAATAAAGATTTCTCACTGTCTAGACAATAACTACATTCATCCACGCTATCCGTAACTCTTACTGGAAGACAGCTGTGAAAATTCAATACCATCTGTGCCTTCTGTTGTGCAAATAAAAATATAGCTTCTACCACTCTCTAACTGGAAGGAAGATGTGTCCTGTGGAGTGACACTTTGCTTTGCTTTTCCATCTTTGCCATTTCAGTCATCTGTAAATGGCCTCCAGCCTCTCCCTATTGTGTTTGATCTTTCATTAATGGTATCATTTTTTTCTCCAGCACTTTCTTGAAGATTCAAATGATGCTTCATTCTATAGTCAATAATACTTAACAAGCAATTGAAAACCCTGAGGTGTTTATCAATTTCTCTGGATTAGTAGGAATGTCTCTATCAGTTCCAGTTGTTTCAAAGAAACTGCTGTATCTGCATTAACTGCATGCATGAAGCACAATGAAAAACAGGATGCTAGCTGTACCGACAGCTTCAAAACTTGTGATATTTTGAAACTTTGCCCCTTTCACCATTGATTTAAATACAGCTTCTAGCAGCTTCTTACATATACTTATAAGCAAACAATGACAAGTTAAAATTCTTAATTTTTCTTTTTCCTTATTTCAGATGAAATATCAATGACATATGCAGGGATTTTAAACATTCAAGGACTACTTCTAATTTTTTGTATCTTTTTTTCTCTAAGTTTGAGTTTCTCTTTTAAATCTTTATAGAGCAGCATGGAAGTTTCACTTAATAATAAATAATAATAAAACAATAATAATAATAATAATAATGTCCTGAAACCACTCCCAAAGACAATTAAATAATAATTGCAATAATTGCTGTAAGATTTCTGACTTCTTTAGGACAATAATGGAGTAATAAAAAGGCATATTTTTAAAAAACAACAAGATATGGAAAGACTTGCCCAGCTTACTTTTGCACTAAGACAGAAAATTACTTTACAATACCCTTTGACATAAAAGAATGCCCTCAACACTAACAATGTGGAAGACATGGAAACAGTGCTATCTATGACTGAGATGTCTAAACTAATTTGGGGAAACCCAATGCTCCTGCTTCTCAAAAAGGATGGTTCAATAAGATTTTGGAAAAAATCATAAAGATCTGCAATTTATTTGGACCCCAAATCTAAATGAATAAGTGAAAAAAAGACAGCTAAATTTATTAAAATACTGTATTTGAATAAGGCTATTAAGAAGTTCCTTTATTACAAGAATTGAATAATATAGTTCATTGAGAATTCTTTGAAATAAACTAACAGACACAAGGACAGTGCAAAGCATTACTGGTATTTTATGCTCAAGCTGGATGGCTTCATTTTGCAACAGTATTTTAAACACCAGTTTACTGGCAGATGACTTTTTAATCCTGTGCTAAACCCTAAAGGAGAAAAAGGAAGAGTTAATTGCCAAATGAGAGAAACACTATGAAGTTAGCACTAACTCACCTCTGACCCTCTAAGCAGCTTCTCCAAGAATGCTTGTATAATTGATATAGTGCCAACAGGGGGAATAGGGAACGGCAGGAGACAAACACACCAGGAAAAAAAATTGCAGGCAGATTATGACCTGAATTTGCCAAAGACTTCAGGTTTAAGAGGGAGATGAGAGACAGGCCCACAAGGTACTGGAAGTGTGCTCTCTCAAGTTAAACGTAGTCATTTTGCCTGTAGACACATACACTTTAGCTGCTCACCCACTCTATAAGCAAGATCTTGCCAATATGGTCAGTGGAGTCTAGGGAGCAAATATTTTCTTCTCAAAGTAGATAAATCTACTTGTAAACTACCTATGACCATTCCTCACAGAGGGGAACCAGCAACAATGAAGGGCCCTTTCTCAAGAGAATTACAGAATTATTGATATTTAGTTTCAGAACAGTGTGGCTACTCCACCTTCCTCTCTCAGTACTCATGTCATTCTGAATCACCAAACAATAATAATTTTGTGACACATGAAAATAACTGATGCACTATGCAGGCTTTTTACAATTCAGGAAGACACCATTCTTTCTATTTTACTCTTTCCTTCAGATAAAGATCTAATACTCTCTTTCCTAGCCCTCCCTTGCAAAAGTTAGATGCACCTTTAATCTTGCTTAGCATTTTGATGCAGTCTCTTTCCTTAACAATAAAACAAAACAAAACCCCCAAAAGGGGAAGGAAAAAAAGGATTAGTTTTTCACTTTTGCTTAGATGAGCAGATCTGAGGATGGAAATGAGACATCTTCCCGCGGTAATTTGGATTGGGAGTATTTGAAAGAGATAAAATTGTTTAATAGCTCAATAATAATGCCAGCATTGCTTCCACAATGACTCTGGGGCTTTATGCTGAAATCTGGTTGGAGCCTTGACAGATAAAAGTGCTTCAGCTTCTTCTGTCTCCATGGCTGTACTTTGCAAGTTAGGAAAAAAAATCCCCAGGGATTCCACCATATTGACAACTTCTTCAGGGTTTCTGGTTTGTTATTTGCATATGGATAGATCCAATCTTTTTTATTCTTTCTGCAATCCTTGTCATTCTTTATGACGCAGCTTGCAAAGATGTTATTTTTTGCAGCTAAATCCTTTTCAGTTTCTATTTTCATTAAGGTTTTATCTGTTTATTTCTATTAAACCTGCTTGTGTTTCAAAGTTTAAGATCTGCTTTATATTATCATTCTAAGAAATCAATAAAGAGATTTTCATGGACTTAGGACATAGTACTGGGATCTCTGCCTGAGGATTGAGATGCAAAATTGAAAGCTAAGTTTTTATTAACTTAATTGCTACTCAGCAGCTGAGCTACAGTTACTGTCTATGCATCTGTTCTTAGTGAACTTCAATTCTAGAGTAAAATATGTGTTTTGCTTAAAGCATGTTTTGGAGAACCAAAAGACTGAGCATTGGTATCTGTAACAGCAACTCTTTAAACAAACCAGCCGCTCTATTTGCAGTATGATGCATTTCAGTGATACAGTATGATTAGATATTTATATGCTAGCCTTTCTGTAGATGCAATGATTGTGAGTTTGGTCTTCATTTGATTCACTCTATTAAGAACTTGTTTACCTCCACAGCAGGGCATCTGTTGCTAAGTAACTGCCAACAAGCCATCACTTCATCCCATCTTAGTGCTCCCTGTAGGTGTTTTAAATGGTCACCAACATTACCCATAGCATGTTTTAAAGATTAAAAAATAAACTGCCAATTTGATCATAACAATACCCTAACAGAAGACAAAATCTGTTTGATGCTCATAATTTTCACCTTGTTCCCTGGACAGTGTTGCAAATCTTTTATCTTTCATTAAATACTATCTAATCTTTCCATGAAACATATGCAATCATTACACTGTACAGCTTAGTTTCATTCAAATCCCAGAAAATACACTATTAACATATATCTTATGTCACACTGACTACAGTTCTTGGGATAGCCAATAATTAATGGAAATGATCCAGTAATAGGACAAGCTATTTAAATAACCAATATCTGGCAGGTCAGAGAATGAGGCTGAGAGATGAAACTTTTATCCTTTCCTCCTTCCATTCCTCTGGATGCTCTGAACTCTTCTGTATATACAGAAGTAAGAGCAATGTGAAGTGAGAAATCTCACATCTCATATTCCCTGTTGGATACCAATGTTGGGACGCAGGGAGATGAGAATCTGGGCCTTTTTCCACTTACCAGGAAGCAATAAAGAGAAATGTGTCCCTTCCCTTGGATCGTTTGAGCAGTCAGAAGAAACAATTTCTGGCCCTAGTAAAGGCTTTCATATTAGGAAAAAGAGGGCAGAGAACAAACAGATGGCTCAACTTCTCCTTCAAATGCGTCCTGAGGGGAAGCTACTTAACTTTTTCCCTCATCTCTTCAGAACTCAAAGACAAAAGGCCCCTTTGAAGACTTTATTTGTGGCAGAAAGTTCTTTACACTCTAATCATTGAAATAGTTTTTCAAAAGTAGCATCTGAATATCTTAGAAACCCACGGCAGAAACCATGGCAACACTCAAGTTCATACAAATCTGGAAAGGATAGGAGAACATTTGACCAAGTATCAGTAACTCTGTTGCAAAATTATTTGCTCTTTTTCTTCATACCTAGTGCCATTCTTCAGAAGAGGAATGAACAGAATGAGTCATGATCAGTCAGTTTAATAAGCAACTAAGGCAATAGAGTCTTGCCTTTATTATTAATACAGTCAGCAGCAATTCCAAAATAAAACCAAAATATG